TTTTTTTTTTGTTTGCATGTGTTTTTATGTTTGCATTTGTTTGTTTTTTTGTTTGCATGTGTTTTTGTGTTTGTATGTGGTTTTTGTGTTTGCATTTGTTTTTTATGTTTGCATTTGTTTTTTGTGTTTGTATGTGGTTTTGTGTTTTTATGCTTTTCACATTCAGGACACACAAGTGTTATTATACAAACAAAAACCTAAAATATTTTTTTAAACAAACAAATCAGTCAAGGAAAAGCCTAACCTTGTGGGCAATGATTGATGATGATGATGACCGAAGGCTGATGACATCAAGCCAGAGATCAGGCGCAGTCAGGAGTGCGGCACTCCATGCTCTCGTCTTCTCTTTTCTAAAACAAACAATAAATCTTCCACTTCCTCATTAAAGTCCTCCCTCTGTCTCAGACTCTTTCTTTTACATCTCTGCCTGTTCTGTCTGAGAAGGTTCTGACTCCGCGGCTCCACCCCCACCTTCAAACAGAAGCTCCGGCTTCACATTCAAAAATGTCATCGGCTGGTGTTGGTCCACTGTGTTTTCTGAGCTCCAAGGTCAACGCAGCATCTACCAGGAAGTTTTAGAGACTTCCTGCTTCCTGCTGCTGACCAACTTTATGGAGATGCAGATTTAATTTTCTAACAGGATTTGACACTTGCACACAGTGCCAAAGCTACCAGAACCTGGTTTAAGGACCATGGTATCCCTGTTCTTAACTGGCCAGCAAACTGGCCTGACCCGGCATAGAACATCTATGAGGTATTGTGAAGAGGAAGATGTGATGCACCAGAGCCAACAATTCAGAAGAGCTGAAGGCCACGATCAGAACAACCTGGACTCTCAACACCTGAGCAGTGACACAGACTGATGGACTCCATGACACGATGCACTGTAACAAGTATTGATGCTGAGCATGTTCATACTTTTCATGTTCATACTTTTCAGTTGGACAACATTTCTAAAAATACTTTTCTTTAATTGGTCTTAAATAATTAATTTTCTGAGATACTGAATTTGTGGTTTTCATTAGTTGTCAGTTAAAATCAACAATAAAAGAAATAAACATTTGAAATATATCAGTCTGTGTGTAATGAATGAAAATAATATACAAGTTTCACTTTTTGAATAAAATTACTGAAATGAATCAACTTTTTCATGATATTCCAATTTTAAAACCAGCATCTGTAGATGTCTGATGGTGGGGAGGCTGACTCCAACATCTTCTGTGCAGCCTTCACCACTCTCTGCAGAGATTTCCTTTCTGTTCTGGGATGACCAGGACTCTGTGGTTTACTGAAAACCAGCAGTCACTCATTCAGGGATGAAGATGTTCACATCCTTGATGGAAAGGAACTTTGGTTTGAGAGAGGAGTGAAGGAAGACATCTTTGTGAAAAGAAACTGTCCATCATTAAAGGGGGCGGAGCCTCAGTGTCCAACTGTCCCCCTCTGATGAGAGCGAACTGGTTTGTTTCTGTGATGGACAGGAGACCAGAATGGAAGAAGTGGATAAAGATAATGGATGTATGGATATCATTAAAATTTGCAGGCTAACTCATTTACATATTTAAAAGGTATGTTTTGAATGTCATCCAATTTAATAACATTAGTTTTGTAACTGGTAGAGCTACATAAATAATAAAAATAAAACTATAGGGTTTGTCATACTTGCACCAAATCATTTTGTTATTTTATTTAGACTTCTAGTTTTTCAGAAGACGGCCAGTAATAAAACTTTTCCTTCCTAAAACTGAACTTTGAAATGTAAAGTATGTTTAGTGGTTTGTCATTTAGGCTTCAGTCGGTCATAAATTCTCTTCTGTTCATGTCAGGAACAGAACGTCAGCAGGTGAAGATAATGGAGTTGGCTTGCAAAGACCCAGACGTTCCCTGAAACAGGCGCGCACACAGGCTTCAGTTCGTTCTATTATTCTGTCAAAGACTTTTACAGCTTCGTTTTCCATTCTCTGCTACCTCCAGCCTCCTTACAAGTAGAAATGTATTTTTCTTTCAGAATAAATGCACCCAAAGGCGCACCAGAGGTCTGACCTTGTTCCTGTTGTGTCTAATAATTGGCAACTCGGTTGCTCAATGAAGCTTTTCCTTCCTGATCGCCTGTGCCTTAACAACAGGTCTTTAATAAGACAAAACACTTCTTTTGTTTTATATATTTTTTATTGTTGAGTAAAATGACGACCGGTGTCTATATAAATACCAATCACATAAAGGAACATACAGGACATGGATGTATGATGCTGAAAGCGTTGATCACGATGTGCTCAGGTACAGGATGAAGATCATGACAGGTGTGTTTTTCATTCTTAAAAAGGAGTGTGCTGAGTATTTGGTCATAAAATGAACAGTGTGTGCACATTAATGAGGAACTAATGAAGCCACTTCCAGCAGCTATATACAGGTCAGAATTCATCATCTGCATTACTTTCAAGTTTAGAGGTGGAAAACAACAAAATGACGTGAGAAAGTTTGGACAGAAAACACTTCAAAGTAAATTTGTGATCCAATTGCCCATTGGGATCCAGTCAGAAGATAAAAATGCATAGAAATGTGACCACCAGGAAACAGTTTCCATGTCTTCCAAGCTACAAATCTTCTGTAGAAGCTTTTAGAAAGAGCTGCTTCTGACATTCAATCTTGGAAAGTTTCCACACAGAACATCTAGACAATCTTCAGACCTCTTCAGATAGATTGAAAAAAAACATTTTGGAACGCTTTTAATTTAGTAAAGAAAGCCGGCACAATTTACGGACCATCACAAACTGACTTTTCTGCTTAAAAGGATAAAACAAAACAACAACTGCATTTAAAACCATCCAAAGCTGCTTATAATTTTGGATCAAAGGTGACAGAGCGCACAACCGTAATGAAGCACTCAGTCTCCACTTCAAACAGGATGGGATCGCAGCAAGGGCTCGTTTTAATTAGGCCGAGTCGGCTGCGATGGACGCGAGCAGCAGATTTGTGAGGAACCATACTCGCCATGAATGAAGGGGTCAAAGAAAGAGGTGCAGCCTGCAGCCACGCAGGGAATAATTATGCTTATTCTGATATAGGGAAGTTTTCCTTGAAGGCACAGGAAAAAGTTGGGGATGGATGAACTTGGATGGCGAGACTCGGTCTGGCCGTATACGTTATGTACAGTGCACTACGTGTATATTTTGTCAATTTGCTGCAGTTGTAGTCAGATCATCTACAGCATTCCCACACAAAGTCGATGCATACATTTACAAGTTCATACCAATTACCTGAAAGATGCTACTGCCAAGCAAGTCAAGAAAACAACCTGGTAGAATAATTCAAAAACAAGGTGTCTTTTAAATTATGCCCCCACACGCTTTAAAGTATTCATCAATGACATTTAGCATTTAGGAAACTAACTCATCAATTTGGTTTCTGATCTGTGATTTTTGCTATCTCTTACAAAATTAAACAATCTGCAACATAATTTAGTGCAACAGTACCTTTAAGGGAAACAAAGCTCAGTGGGTCCTGATGTCATGACCTAAGAATCCCCAACCCAAACCACCACGTTGCCTTTGAGGACGTCTGTGATCTCACAGTTGAGCTTGTTCAGCCTTCCATCCAGGATGAACAGGGACTCCCTGGAAGGTGTTGTGAGGTACTGTCCGAAAAGTCCGCTGCTCACCATGACCCTGTTCCTGCTGCTCCACGGCCAATCAAACGACTTGATGGCCTCTTTCAAGCTCTTGATCATCTTGACTTTGCCGGTGCTGAGCTCCACAAACAGTGCGTCGGTTTGACGACCGGAGCTGCCGAACACGTTGTACTGATGGATCTCTGTGAAGGAGCGCTGGAAAGCCAGGTCTGACAAGTGCAGGTTGGTGTGGATGTCGAAGGGCTCCTGGATCTTTCCCCGCTCGGAGATGGTCTGGATCCTCATCAGTCCATTGCTGTCATCGACTGTGACCAGATAGCGGCCGTCTGGAGATGCGTAGGGTGTGCCGGTGACGTCACTGTTCTGGCCGATCACGCCGTCTGTCACGCTGTCTAAGATCAGCTGGGGCTGTGTGGCGCCGGTGGAGTCCGGCTTGCAGTTAATAAGGTAGTAACCGCCAAGATGGGTGTAGGCTACAGACTTGGGGATGCAGTTAAACTCCCACAGACTGATGTTTTTAATGTAAGCCGTTGTCTCCAAGTTGATCTTGTAGAGGATCGGTTCGTTTTGATGAAGAATCAGACCAAATCTGTAAAGTATTTAAAGAGAGAGAGAACGATTCCATTACTGACGCTTCTCGTCTCAGACACACAAACCATCGGCCTGTTTTTGGAAGTGACGATATCAAACTGTAAGTTGTACAACTGTATAAAACATGTTAAACAGTCATGCTCCAATTATAAATGCCTTTTAAAAATTAAAACAATTCAGCAGAAGTGGGATGAGGATAGTCAGAAGCTAAACTCCAATAACTGTTACTTACAGATGGAGCCACCATGTACATTTAGATGAGTGGTAAACTTCCCAGTGATTGTTTGTATCGCCAGCATTAGAGATGGAAACTCCACCTTTCAAACAAGTAAATCCCAAAACAGAATACTGACGAAAACTTGATGTCTTAAAGGATTCATGACTTGTATCAAAAATTTGGATTTTAGATTTTATTTTTCCATTTCCTAGCTGCTTGAAAATATTTCTTATTGGTCCAGTATTTTGATTTATGACGAAACAGTTGATGCAGTCAGAATAAATATGATCTTTGTTGAAAGCCTTGTTGAAATATTTAAATGGATCTTGCAGCAACAGTTATTTTACGTCCTTATAGAGTCTTTAAAGTTTTGCATATCCAAGCTTTTTATATCACCTTGTATGAATACATGCTTTTTATGTGTATGCAAATTTTGAATAAGTGACTGTTGTGTGTTTTGCTGAGTCATCTGGACAAAATCTTTATATAGACTTGACAATCAACCTGATTGATAACTGAACCGACCTTACAAGAAAGACATAAGAAATGTTCATGGCTGTATGAACATGATTTTAGAATATTTTAAAAAAACTTTGACCTAAGAAAGTACCTCCAAAATATTAAAGGCACAATCAGAAACTGCCTAAAATGAGGCGTCCCCTTCACATACAATTGTTGCGGCGCCTATAATACCAGCTGATCGATACCGACAGCCACTTTAATGGCACCATAATTCATCGTCTTTCATACCATTTGAACAACCATCTGTCTGTACATGTGAAGAGAAAATGTCATCTGAAAGCTACTGGGCCCACTGATCCAAAAACTGTCCCGTCTGCGGGCCACAAACACTCGACTGCACCGAGTCCCGAGGCTTTTACAACTTCAACGTTTATTCAGCGTTTGAATTTTCATTTTTGAACAGATTTTAGCATTTACAAGAAGCTGATCAGCTGTTGCTCTAATCCAGATTCTAAGTTAGTCAGCCTCGACATGTTTCTTGACCTTAGCGCGTGTCAAGGGTTAGTGGGATTTCTAAGAAAGGTTTCACTCTGAAATTAACCTGATTATTACCGAAATAGTTATTTTACAGCTTCTCTACTCTTCACATGAACGTGGACTGTTTGTTCACACTTTTCCAAATCTTTGTATTATTTTTGGCTGAGCTGATAATATACTGGACCTCATTACAATGTTTGGTAAACTCTTGGAACAATCAATGGCTAGTGTTTGCATTATACTGGTAACATGCCAGAAGCAAAAAAAAAAAAAAAATCAATGCTGCATTTAACCTGCAACTGAAAAACAAATCTCCAAACCCACATTTCCATACATGAATGATGAATTAAAGACTTATTTGACCTTACATTAATATGTGAACACATCTGTTTGCTTCATCAGCAAACTGGCTTCTGTTTTTAGTCATTGTTCCTGTGAGTAAACCAAGTTTTACTCTGTGTTCGTATTTTTATCCATGCTTTCTGCACTCATGAAACAGCAGAGTCAGAACATTTTACCTCTGAAGTATTGTTTGCTCTGCAGCACAGTTGAAAACCCTGAGAGCACAAGAATGCGCACTGCTAAGTGAAATATATCTGTAACACCGTTTCTACACCACTAACTATTATGTGCAATGATTTGTGAAAAATAGTGTGGGCAGCTGGGGCTACAGGGTACTGTAGATGTGAGCATAAATAGAAAAAATAAAAACAGCTTCTTTTTGCTGACTTGTTGGGCTTACTGACTGCAAGTCAATGCATTTAATGAATGTCGGTCCCTGTTCACTTTGCTGTTTCTGCTCAGGGAATCCCCAGCCATTAAACGATTTCTGGAATTTACAGAATGTATTTTGGTTGTTTACACACCACTCATGTTACTAAATCAGCTAATTGTTCCTGTGAACAACAAAATTCAGTTCAGTTTATTCCTTGCCCCGCTCCCCTCCGGCAGAAGGATGAGGAGCATTAAGTGCAGAACCACCAGGCTGAGGAACAGCTTCTACCCTGAGGCTGTTAGACTCATGAATCCCTAGTCAGGATTATCAGAGTGGAAAAAGTCACTGTGTGATGCCACCTGGTTGTTCTGTGCTGCTGACTAACCATGATGCTGATCTCATGCTGCTGATTTATTTCATGTTGTGTTCATTCATGCTCACACAGACTCATGTCCGTGCTGCTGCTGTTTGGCGTATTGTTTTATACTATGTGTTTAGTGTATTCTTAGAGTATTTCTTAGGTAATATCTTAGATCTTCTTACTGTTTTTCTTTACAATTTGTATTTTTGATGGGACCCTGTGTACATAGTTTGGTTCCACCACATGATGTGAAACTCCTTGACCTTTTATTTATATAGTGCCGAGTCAACAGAAGTCACCTCAGGGCACTGAACAGAAACATTCACATACATTGTAAAGTTCTCTATCTAAGGAAGAAGCAGATTGTGTAGCTGGACTCTCCCTTAGAGATTGGGTGAGAACTTCAGTTCTTCAGGAGAGACATGGAGCAGAACTGCTGCTCCTCCACATTGAGAGGAGCCAGTTGAGGTGGTTTGTGCATCTTTTAAGGATGTACCCTGGGCATGATAAACTGGGAGGAGACTCGGGGGGAAGACCCAGGACACGCTGGAGAGACTGTCTCTTGGTTGGCCTGGGAACATCTTGGAGTCCTCCTAGAGGAGATGGAGGAGGTGGCTGTAGACAGAGATGCCTGGACCTCCTGCTTATCTAAATCAGACGTGGACAACATTTGGCCGGAGAGCCGAAAGTGGCCCTTGGACAAGCTCCATATTGTCCCTAATATCCTTAACTGAAATAAACGAAAACATGCATTTTATCAATTAAACTTGTGTATGTGTAAAATTAATGTCTTAAACAAATACATTGAAAACATCTGGATTAAAAACAGCTAAAATGTTTTTGTTGTTGTTATGTCCAGAACCTTAAAGCCTACAAAAAAACAACCAATAATA